AGAAATGCATATTAACTGAATGACACAGGGAGGAAAGTTGGCATGTTTCACAAATATATATCTCATTTAATCAACAGAACAACTCAGCACAGTAGGGAGTGCTTGTTCTTACTTTTTAACGTAAGGAAATTGGGGAGCAAAGAGGTCTAGTAACTTGGATCTTGCCCAGTAGAAAAAAAGTTAGGATCACAGTTTTTGAGCCAAGGTAGAATGATTACAAAGCTCAGACAGTTTCTTCTGGGAAACTCTCTCTTCATCACAAACAGAAAAACTATCTAGAAAGTTAGAAAGTTTTTTGAAGCAAAGAAAATTTGCAGGAGGAAGCAATTTAGTGATTCAAAATAAGCACCAATTTTACTATTTTTTCTTAGGCTGTAGTATTCAGAATAAATTTGTGTGTGTCATTTGACCTATAGTCCTAGTGATCATGTTCTGAATTTTCTGAAACTATCCAAATTTCAAATATTTTGTCCTATTTTTCTCATAAGCCGTTGAAGTGTCCTAAGTGGGTTTGGGAGAAAGTATTCAGGCAGGATAAATGTAAGTGCAAATACCCTGTGGTGGGAAGGAGAAGTTTGGCATGTTCAAAGAAGGCTGGTTTTCCTAGTGTACAGGGAGTAGGATATGTAGTAGGAGTTGAGCCTGAGGTCAGAGCAAGATTATATATGGCCTTGTGGCTACAAGAGCATTGGGAAGGCATTGAAGGGAGAGTGTAAGTAGGAATGGTAGTGGGGACTGGTGTCATCTGATTTGTTTTTTTGAAAAAATTTCTTTGCTGCAGAGAATTGAATGTGTTAGAGAGGGACAAAAGTGAATTCAAAAAGAGTAGTTAAATCAAGAACCAAACCCTTTGCCATCAAGTCAGTTCTGACCCATAGCAACCCTACAGGACAGAGTAGAACTGCTCCATAGGGTTTCCAAGGAGCAGCTGGTGGATTCAAACTGCCAGCCTTTTGGTCAGCAGCCGAATTCTTAACCAGCACACCGCCAGGGCTCCAAGAAGAGGAGTTAAAGAGAGAAAATTGAAAAATGGATTCAGGAGGAACATTCCACATGAGAGAAAATGATCTTGGATCAGGGTGGTGCTGTTGCAGGAGACAGTTGGGTGTATTGGAGAAACATTTAGAAGGTAAAGTTGTATGTTGATGGGTTGGTTAGATATGGGTGGGGGACAAGCAGGGCTTCACAAGATTCTGGATGTAGAATTAGATGTACAGTGTAGCCTTTTAATGAAAAGGGAACAGTGGAAAAGAACCACATTTCAGTGTGGACATGCTAGCCTTTTAATGAAAAGGGGACAGTGGAAAAGAACCAAATTTCAATTTGGACATGCTAAATTTGAGATTTTTGACACATTCAAGTGAGAATATCAAAGAGTAGGCAACGGGATATGGGTCTGGAACTCAGATAAGAGGTCTGGGAGAGAGTATACAGCATTGGGCAATTTTTACTGTGAAACAGACCTCAAAATCACGATGGTTTACAACTAAAGACATTTTTTTTTTTTCCATTTGTGGGTTTACAAATGGGTTGTAGCTGTGCTGGACTCTGCTGAGATTGGATAGGCTTGGTGTCAGGCTGCTGGTTGAGTTCAGGCTTGCTGCACATGTTTCATCATTCCAGCTACTCAAGGCGTGTTCCTCACAGGAGTATATAGAGCAAGGCTTTTAAAACCTCTGCTTATGCCATGTCCTCTAAAATTCCATTTACCAAATCAAGTGAGGTAGGCAAGTTCAAACTCAAGGGGAAGCTATGGCCAGAGTAGGTCATGAAGAATTGGAAGTAATAATAGAATAATCCAGTCTACCGGAGCAGGACTGAGCCTTGAGACATTCAATGCGTGGGTCGGGGAGGATGTCCCCAGGAGACTAAGAATTAGCAGTCAGGGCAGTGAGTGTGGTGTCACTGAAGCCAGATTTACAGAGAGAGGTAGTAAGGTCGGCTGTACTGGATGCTGGTAGAGGTCAAATGAGATGAGAACAGAAACACATCAATCAGATTTATTGGCACTGATAACTGCAGTTAAGAGATATTTAATGTGGTGATAGAGATGGAAGCCATACTGGAGTGGGTTGTGAATTATATGGTTGCCAACCTTTAATTTTGATAGCAAAGACAAAAGAAAACAAAAACACCAACAACAGCAATGGAACTCCTCAAAAAAGAATGTGGTGTATTCAGTCAGCATGAATGGGTTAACATGAAGAAGGGAACAGAAGACGAATATGTAGTGAGAATTTTAAATACAGTAGCATGTTTGCCTTCACATACATTTAATCATCAAAACATTCTCATAAAAAATGAAGCATTATCTGCGTTTTCCAGGTAAGAAATCTGAGGCTCTTAGAGGTTATGTAATTTTCACTAGGTCAGTGGGTCATGGTGATATGATGAAAAGAAATGTGGCCAAGATCCCAGTCTCCAGAATTCTTGACTAGCAGCCAACTCCTGACCCTATTTCTCAAAGGAGAGATAACCACCCTAGTCAAATGCACATGCATTTTACCGAGGAGGTATTGACTTCAGTTGGTCTCCCCGTGAGCTTGGATCAATCATGTCTGAATCACAGGGCATGCTTGTGCTCCACTGTCCTGAGACTGGAATAAATCCAAGGCTTCTTGCCTCCATTCCTGTAAGCCCACGCTCTACTCTTTGTCTACCAGATGAGTACTTCTCAAAGTATTTGTGGTGAGGTTTTTTTTTTTTTTGCTCAGTAAGCTGTAGATTGATACTTTTCTAAAGTACAGTAAAATGAGTTATTAAAAAAAACTTAAAAATACATAAAAATTACAAGCACCATAGATACGACAGACATAAATTTATCCTCTCAGATTGCTAGAAAAGTTTGAATTTCAGTTTGAATTTCTGTATTAACCTCCTCACAGACCAGCAATAAGCAGTCATGGATTCGTGGCCACTCCATATACAATAGAAAACAATGCTGCTTGATTCTTTGCCGTCCCCATGATCGGTTACAGAATGTACTGTTATAATCCATAAAGTTTTCATTGGCTATTGTCATGGATTGAATTGAATTGTGTCCCCCAAAAATACCTGTCAATTTGGCTGGGTCATGATTCCCAGTATTGTATAATTGCGT